TTGTTTACACAAAAAAACAAAAGTAACATACTACAGAAACAGAGATGAGCCTTTTCGAAAATATTTTGTTCAAGGTGGTTCTTTGGTATATTGTAGTGATATAGACGGGTTGTTTAGAACATTTGGAGTTGAACATGATCCTAAAGAATGGCGGTTATTTATTGATTCTTCTAAGAGAAGCCTTAAAGCTGTATTACTAAACAATGGGAATAAACTAGCTTCTGTTCCATTGGCTCACTCTACGACAATGGATGAAAATTACGTGAATATGGAATATTTACTTGATAAAATTAATTACGAGTTGTATAAATGGAAAATCTGCACGGATTTAAAAGTTGTCACAATCATTTTGGGACAACAATCTGGTTTTACGAAATACCCATGTTTTCTATGTGAATGGGACAGCAGAGCTCGTGAAAAGCATTATGATGTAAAGGAGTGGCCAGCAAGGGATAGTTTTTTTGTAGGGAATAAAAATCTCAAATACAATAAATTGGTTGATCCTGATAAAATAATACTGCCTCCTCTTCATATAAAATTAGGCTTGATTAAACAGCCGGTAAAAGCTTTAAAGAAAAGAGATAGTAAAGCTTTTCAATATCTCTTCTTGAAATTCCCAAAGTTATTCGAAGCAAAACTCAAAGAGGGAATTTTTGATGCACCTCAAATAAGAGAACTCATAAAAGATCTCGAATTCCCGAATAGAATGTCAGAAGATGAACGAAAAGCTTGGCAGAGCTTTATTGACGTTTGTACGAAATTTTTAGGTAACAAAAGAGATCAAAATTATAAAGAAATAGTCAACGACTTGGTCGTAAACTACAAAGCTGTTCAATGTCTCATGAGTCTGAAGCTCCACTTTTTAGATTCTCATTTGGACAAATTTCCAGAAAATCTAGGAGATTATAGTGAAGAGCAAGGTGAAAGATTTCATCAAGATATTAAAGAGATGGAAAGGCGCTATCAAGGATTTTGGGATGTCAATATGATGTCAGATTACTGCTGGAACCTTAAGAGGGTTACTTCAGTTAAGCACAAGAGAAAAGCGCTGAAAAGAACATTCGATGAAAGATGTAGACCTAGCAAGAAAGCACGTTTACATTGAAGAGTGGTGGCTTAACAGAGTAAGAGACATAAACCTCGATGTTAAGAAGTACCCTCCATGAGATTATAATAAAAAATGATTGTTTCACCATGACATTGAAATACTTAATATAAATTTTAGAGATTTCCTGATTTTCATACCTTTAACTGACTTTAGAAAGTTAAAAGATCTTAAATTTCGATTGGATTTCAATTCGATTTCGAGAATATCAAGGTCGGGGCGTGTAGAATTTGCTATGCCGTGTTTGGGATTTTTTATGCGGTGGTAAAAAGCAAGCGAATCCTCCTATCTAGAACCCTGTTCTCTACTTTACTATTCGGAGAATCCCGGTAGCATTTGAAGTATCTATAGCACGTAAGCATCTGCGTAAGGTAGAAGTTCACTTCTCCGAAGCTCCTCTCCATCCACGCCCTAATGTCGGGAATTGAGCTTCTCGTCCATACGCCTTTACCATCTCTCGACCACCGTTCTCGCCATACCTCTATTATTCTATCACTCTCCTCCTTGGCTACTTCTACTTTATTTTCGTTTAACCTTCTGTTATAGATCCTCTTGCGCTCCCTAGCAAGAAGATCTACGGGGATTACACCATCGACAATCAGAATAGCGTCCCTCGAGACCGTCCAGTATGCGCTAGATGTCCTCAAGGCCCCTCGCCTCTGTACGCTCGCGATATAGATCGAAGTTCATCGCATCAGGGGTTCATGAAATTAGGATGTGAAGGTCGGGGTTGGGTTGTAGAGTTGCAGGTTACCGGGCTCGGGACTGAGAAAATTAAGATATGGAGATCGGAGGTTGAGAGTCCAGGGTTATAGTCACGCAGAGATGCAGGGCTCGAGGGTTAAAGCAACCAGGGTTCAAATAGGGTTATATTTGTTTTTTTTGTGCAAAATTAACGAATTAACCTTGAAGTGACCTTGATCCTAACTGGATGAGGTCAAATGGATTCCAGCTTTGTATTCAGAATACAAAGATACATGACAGTATACAATAGAAGCCCATCGGAGGTCTCAAAAACAAGTTCATATGGATAAAAAGCAAATAAGGTCTATTTATTATTTGTTTGAGTTCTAGATGTCCTTCAAAGGTCATGTTGGAAAAAACCAACAATATGTATTTGAACGTAAAATTTCCCGCTCTTTCCGAATCCGTAGTCAAATTTTAAATTCTGTTGTATTAAATACATTTGACCTTCAAAAGACCTTGAACCTGACGTGATGGAGATCAACGGACCTCGAATTCGTGTTCAGCGCATCGAAATACATAAAAGTTATATGGTCTGGTCAAATAGGCATCAACTTTTTTTATTTTGTAAACCTGTGTTATTAATTACTCGATTGAGATGAGCGATAGTTCACTTTATAGAAAATTCCATTATCTATAACTTATTTCATTGAGGTACATACCTAACTTCAATAGTTTTGGTTTTATACGCGAAAAATATGTTTTTGCAAATTTCAAACGGCTGTAAAAAGTTATTAAATGAAAGTTGCGAGTTGGAAACATATACGTTTTCATCTACGCATAGTAATAAACAACTTTGCATAGTCGGTTTTCTGTTAGTATTAGTGTCACAAAATACCTCATTTTTGGCTTCATTGATTGGCCTAACCAATTACGACCCACGTGCGTAGATCCTCTATAGGGCCAGGCGACGCACAGTGGGGATTGAAAACGGTCTTCACTAAATTCAACTTTCAAGGCGAACCATATGTGGAAATTCAATGAATTTTTTTTTAAATAACTATTGAATGATTCTGCAGAGATCTCTCGAACCCAAATATAGATATTGTTTTTTATCGTCTCTAACTGACTATGAAAGTAAATAAAAGCAGAAATTCGTGGCATAATTAATTTTTTTTTACGCTAAAACTAATAGTGATCGATCAAAATGTGGCTTAAAATCTCATCTTCTAACTTCATAGAATACGTGAAAATTTTTTTGACCCAAAATCTAACATGTATTTCTTTTAAAGGTCATTTGAAGGTCAATACTATTTTTTATGTCAAATTTGCGGCTCATTGGATTTCAAACATGCTAAATCACTAACTTAGAGTATAATGTATTCTTTTCTCAAAGTAACTGGAAGGTAGGTACTTTTTTCAATATCATTTGAAGGTCAATACTATTTGTTACGATTAAACGACTATTCTTCGAATTGGAAATATACGACATGACTAATTTGGTGTGCAGGAAATGATTTTCTTCAATGCAACAAACCCACAAACCCCAACCCCCAAACTCCAAATCACAGACCACAAATCCACAAACCCTCACAAACCCTAACTCTAGGAATCCCAAATCTAAAAACCCTAACGAATAATCCACAAACTTTGGTGTATATTTCCAATTCGAAGAATAGTCGTTTAATCGTAACAAATAGTATTGACCTTCAAATGATATTGAAAAAAGTACCTATCTTCCAGTTACTTTGAGAAAAGAATACATTATACTCTAAGTTAGTGATTTAGCATGTTTGAAATCCAATGAGCCGCAAATTTGACATAAAAAATAGTATTGACCTTCAAGTGACCTTTAAAAGAAATACATGTTAGATTTTGGGTCAAAAAAATTTTCACGTATTCTATGAAGTTAGAAGATAAGATTTTAAGCCACATTTTGATCGATCACTATTAGTTTTAGCATAAAAAAAAATTAATTATGCCACGAATTTCTGCTTTTATTTACTTTCATAGTCAGTTAGAGACGATAAAAAACAATATCTATATTTGGGTTTGAGAGATCTCTGCAGAATCATTCAATAGTTATTTAAAAAAAAATTCATCGAATTTCCACATATGGTTCGCCTTGAAAGTTGAATTTAGTGAAGACCGTTTTCAATCCCCACTGTGCGACGTCGCAATTCTTCTCTAGATAAAGGCACACACTCCAAGGTCGAAGGGAAAAGGGAGGCGCCCGATCACAACCAAGGTCCAAGCAAGAAAAATCGTCGGGACAAAGAACTCCGTCCGCTCGCTCGCGAGTTTTAATGAGTCAATCAATGCGCGCGGTCACTCGCTAAGGTGCGACTATGTCTCTCTCTCTCGATCCGCGCCTCGTTTCGCGCACGGAAATATCCCTGCGTACTCTCACCTCACTTACCTTATATACGAACAGAAGGGTAATTATATATGCAGATATAAATAATAAATGAATATAAACATAATAAATTCATAAATGCATAGGATAAGTTCGGAGGAATATGTTATATTGACATATCATTACTAGGGAGAGAGAGATATAACAAGTTTGCAATTTCACTCGTTATAAAGTGTAATAGATATTTTTAATCTAAATACTAAAAAGTTCAAAAGACAGTACAAAAAGGCTATAATACCGCTATAATTATTTTTTATTTAAAAATTATTGACTCATCAAATGATTCTCATAAATATATTGAAAATCATATCTTTTTTTCAATATATATAGTACTAATGTCGGTAAAAATCTTCATTGAAATTGATGGTGAGTAGGAGACATACACTCACAACGAAAACTTACAATCGTGTTTTATAAAATCGTTTATTATAAATGTTTATGTTCATCCGAATTTTTTCAATTGATAAAAGAACAGAGAAAGCCATAGAAAGAAAATGAGTCAGATAAAGTGAACTTTCTCATAAGATTAGTCTAAACTCCACATACGATTTTCAATGATCGATGGATTTGGCAGATTCATTTTTTGTAAATATTTTTAAAATAATACTTACATGGTTAATTGAATCATGTTTTTTATAGCATTGGTTCTTTTTCATTTATTTTACTAAAAGAAAGTATATTAATTCAAAATATAAATAATTCACAACTAGAATAAATTTTTTCATAAGTGTACATTTTATAATTTTTTTATCTTTTTTTCTTCTCTTAAAAATAATAAAAATTTATTTGTTTCAGACACCAAAAATGAAATTCGTATCCACAAAATCTACTAGTGGATTTTCGAGTACTACAAGTGAGCATCTTACAAAATCAAATCAGGTTACTTCTTTTTCTCCAACATCTTACGTTCTTCCATTGCGATCATCTACTACAAATCGATCATCCATATCACGTTTCACATCTGCTAACGATAAAAAAGTTTTAATCCACTCAATGACTCAGTCAAATACAAAAACAACAATGTCTTATACTAGTGCTATTATGACTTCTGGCCGATCAAGTAAAGTTTTAGCAACCAACATATCACAAACATTTGCCGAAAAATTATCAGAAATCAATACAATATCTACGGCAATCGACTATTCTAATTCTTTTCAGTTTAATCAAGTGTTACATAATGCTGTAAGTACAGCCAACCCATCCGTGCATGTTTCTTCAGTGCAATCAACTGTTGCTTCGAATTTGCAGATGCAATCACACGATACATCTTCAAACAATTTATTGGATTCTGATACTATACTTTCTTTAGTTCCAGTTTTTACAGCTAGTTCTTCACATTCTTCTGAAAAATTTAACTGTCAATCAGTCTCCAACAATTTAATGACAATGAATTCTTCTAATATGATAATTACTACAACAAACTCTTTTTCATCACAGTTGATAAAAGTTCCACAAACAACTAGTATCTCTGTAAATTCGCCATCAATTACTAGTTTAAATGAGTGTCAAAATACAGCGTGCAGCGTTCCTCTAGAATATTCCCTTTTTAATGATACATTCAGTAAAGTAACTCAACAATCGATGTGGGGAAGTAAAGAATTTGAAAATCAAAAAAATATAAATTTTGCTACTATTGCTGGAGCAAAAGTCTCTGTTAATAATCCTGTTATGCCATCGAATAAATTCATCGATAGTGCTCCAATTGAAGTTGATGCATCTAAAGCACCTGGTTATCGTGGAATACTAACGTGCTCTCCCACATCAAATTTATCTAATAATTTTAGTAGCCTTGGCAATAATTCTACAGGTGATGATGGATCTTTATCGTCGGATAAAATTGTAATCCAAGCCGAACATGTTCAACTAGTAGATTTTACAAATGACGGTATATTATGTGGAGCATCAAAGCCACCAGTTAATTTAATATCAGTCAGACCTCATCTACATCACAATAAAGACGACAAAAATATGACAACTGCAACATCATTTATGAAAATGACTTCATGTGAGAATATGAAATCTTCCGAAAATGCCGTCACTAGTCCTAAAGGAAATGATATTTCATTAATGTCCTGCCAATCAAATTTGGAGGCTGATATATTTGATTTAAATGATGAAAGTTCTAATTTTGAAAATCAATCCAGTAGCTCCAATTTGATAAAAACCGTAACTAGCGAGAGTCAAAGTAATGCTCAATGTATATCTATTCAACGGCATATACGAACAAATAATCCTCAAACAATAATGCCTTCAGCTATAGTAACAACAACTATAAGTATGTCGCGGCTAAACCCACGTGCACCGGATTTCTCAAGTTCATTACATTTAGGAAACAACCAGCAGATGACCATGCTTAGTACTAGTACATCCAGACCAACAGTTTTCCCTATCATGTCAGCTCAACCATCTACAAGTGTTATTCACTCTAGCAATTTAACAATGGTTGGAGGTTTTACTTATAATAAATATCAGACACCATTTCTAAGACCAACTAATCCACACCATTGGCCTTTCCTTGCAACGCCAAATTACACACATCAAGATCAATTAATCAGTCAAGCCAATTATTCTGACCATATTATAGGAATATCATCACCATCTTCAAATTTGGATACAATCAATCATGAAAATAGTCATTTAAGAACACCTGTTATGTCTTTGGTATCCACTGGTCCGACTCAAGAAATTTCTCATGTACAAATAGAAGATCGGAAACCTCGCCCTATAGGAACGGAAAGAACATGGAAAAATTATTCAATCATAGGACCAGGAGGAGATACTGACAATATTAATTGGATTCCAAGTCAAGAAAAAACTACAGATTCATGGCCAGGAATATTGCCAAATACAGATACAAATCAATTATTCGATTCAAATGCCACTTTCAATAGAGTTTTACCAAATGAAACTGATTCACACAAAACCGCTGAATCATCTTTTCAGGTAAGAAGTTATACGTACTGTATTATTTAAATTGAAAATAAATAAATAAATAAAAGTTTTATTTATAAAAAATGCTGCATTACGTAATGAATTACTGGAGTGAGCGAAGTACGCATTATGACGCCTGAACAAAGCTAATATTTTGAACCATACCAATAATAAAGTACGCTAAAAATATTATGTTACCTTTATAAATTTTCAAAATTACGAAATGAGCACTAATAACGTAAGCACGAAAAAAAAGGTAGTCTGTATCTAAAAAGAAGTTTATATATTCCCGTGTATATTGCCACGTTGAATCTGAATCCGCAGTTAGTTTGATCCTACCAGGTCAGGATCAAGGGTCTTTGTCAGTCAAATTCATAAAATTGTAGTTTTCAAAACTGTAACTAGTGTTTGCATAGTTTTGAGAGGTAACTATTTTCATGTTTTGAGCATTGCTGTATCCTAATATATGATCTTTTTGACCATAGCACATGAGGTTCAACGGTATTCGAAGGTGAAATTGAGTAAAAAACTCATATAAGAAGGAATCACTAGTATTTTTATAGGTTTAAGGATCGCTGAATTAGAATTTGCAATCCGTTTGACCTCACCACGACAGGTTCAAAATCATTTGAAGGTCAAGTAGAAAAAAGTCGTTTAGGAATGAATGACTAGTAATTCTGTGGTTTCCAGGGCCGCTAAATGCAAATCCGATTGATTTAATTTCAAGCTAAACTCGATCTAGATTGATCGGGATCAAGCACACCTCAAATTTGGATTCAATGGCCCTACAATCATAGAATTACTAGTCATTCCTTTCTAAACCACTGTTTTCCATTTGGCCTCCAAATGATCTTGAACCTGTCGTGCTGGGATCAAACGGATAGCAAATTCGGATTCAACAACCCTTAAACCTATAAAAATACTAGTGATTCCTCGTAAATGGATTTTTTCTTTCATTTCACCTTCGAATGTTCTTGAACTTGATATGCTATGGTCAAAGAGATCACAAATTCAGATACAACGATCCTCGAAAGATATAAAAATAGTTGTCTGATTTCTTGAAGGCGCACTTTTGTATTTTTGAAATCGTCATATTAATTCTTAATATATCAACATTTAATAATCTTTAAATGACATACAACGTCGTGATAAAAAAAATGAAAAATATGATACCTGAACGTAAAAATTACCGTACGGTCAGAATCTGCAGTGAAAATTTAACTTTTTGCACAATATGCATATTTGACCTTAGAAATGACCTTGATTCAGACATGTTGAGATTAAACAAGCTCTAGATTCAGATTCAGCAACCCTCAAAACCATAGAAACATTACTTACAGTATTTAAAATTACATTTTCATGAGTTTGACCTCCAAATGCCCTTGATCTTTACGTGGTAGGATCAATCTGACTGTGGATTCGGATTCAGCATGGCAAAATATATGGGAATATACGTATTTCGTTTTTAATACATACCAACTTTTTTGTGTCTCTGTGTAATAGGTTGATCAATAGCAGCGCAGTTTATTACTTTCTTGCAGCATGCTTCGGTAGCAATCAGCTTATCTCTCCTTTATAAATGATGTCGAAAATCTCGCTGTTGCCCTCGCGGATTGAGGGTGCTGCTGTTTTTTTCACTACTCTTGTATATAAATCCTTTTAATGTGGTATTCGATACTCGGACACGTTATTTCGTTGAAAAAAACATAGAAGAATAGTCAATACCAAGGCGCGCTTAACAAACGGTGATTGCTTCCTACCTACGTATGCTCTTTATCTCTCTTGTATACGCACGCATAGTAAGTCGTCAGCGTTTGAATCGGAAGCTTCACCCTCATGCTAGTAAATGGTTGCCTTAACGACTGGAGCTAGTTACAAACCCGTTCTAGTTCAGGGCTGCAGAGATTGGCGCCACGATTAAATCAAGTGACTGCATGTGCTCTACTGAAAATAAAAAATAAGGGTTACCATTAAAAAATATGTTGATCTTGAAAATGACCTTTAAAGATAATCTTAGAATCAAATTGAAGTGTATCGATTATTTCTTTGGACCAAATCCTATAACTGTTGTTACTTCAGTTTTTTAAGAAAATGTGATCCTTGAGCTTTTTACCAAGTGTACAAGTACTTTTAAGAATATATGTTATAATGAACTTGGTACATATGTATATTTGCAATTACCGTCACACTTTATTCTTTCGAGATACAAAAACTTATCGCTCACGCCAGATACAAAAACTTATCGCCACACGATACAGTTACACGAGCATCTAACCAGCACAGTAACTTGGCTAGGATTAACGGCTTAAACAGTTGCGTCTTTCCCTTACATACTGTCTCACAAGAACTACAATAACAACCTGTAGATACATAAATGTTTATACGCGCGAAGACGGTTGACTATTTACAGACATCGCAGAGCCATACAAAAAATCTTTCAATACTCGTGCTATTTAAGTATTTGAGCACAGTGTCTGTATCCAGACAACATATGAAGGTCCTTCAATAAATCCGCGACTTAAAATTGCAACGGTAGTCGATTAAGAAAGAGAGAGAGAGAGAGAGAGAGAGAGAGAGAGAGAGAGAGAGAGGGCGCCCGAGCGTTTGAAATAGGCAGTTAAGCCTCAGCTGTTTTTGCGATAATACCGCCAAATTGTTTTGCACTGTGTTCGCCGTTTTCATAAAGTTTTCTGGGACGATTTTTACGTGCGGGAGTACAACAGCATTAAAGCGGCAGCAAGCAGCAGCAGTATAGAAGCAGCAAATTGTAGCGGATTGGAGAGCGAGGTAGCGCAGCTGATTAATTGGAGGAGCATGGACAGTTGATTTTTTCATTAACAATTATGGCTGATCACCATAATTGCACCGCAGGATAGGTGCATCTCCCTTTATTATTGCGTGACAAAATACGTTCGGAAGTATTTTGTCAACCACGATATTGAATCCTTTTGTATTCGCTCCGAGCGTTAGTTTCACGGTAGTTTTCAAATTTTCTCTCTCTCTCTCTCTCTCTCTCTCTCTCTCTCTCTCTCTCTCTCTCTCTCTCTCAATCACCAAATATTAATAATTCATTGTAAATCCTATTCGTGTGCGTTAGTTTTTCGGCCCATAAAAGACTGTGGTTTTTATTGATTAAAGTTAGTTAATTTTATTCGCCGATTACGTCATTTCATTTCCTATTAGCTTAAGCGATTTATAAAAGTTTAGGTTGTAATCCGATTTCATCTAGAGGATTAAGCGGATTAGACATAAAGTCACTCAAACCTAAGATACATCGAGTGTCACAAGTCAAGTGACTTGAGGTGAGTTCAATTCAGTTGGAAAAAGACACCGAAACGAAATCATCTGACGTAAAGGCAGATACATATAGAACTATATGTGTTTAACGGAGCGGGGATTAGCTCTGCATCGTGGGAGTTTGTGCTTAAATAAATTTTCCATTTTGTTAGATAACCTCCTCCGTTACATGACGCCCAACTGGTATTAAGATCCGTTTCGTGTGAATAAGATTGTGCGTCGACGGTAATCGACGCACGAGAGAGGTAGAGACGATTGCGCGAGCGCTTAGAAAGGTTTGAGCTGGTGGTAGTGCGAAATCGTGAGCGGTACGCCCTCTGCAGGAGAAAAAACGGAATCACTTAAACTTTTTTGCTTATAAATTGTTAAGTTTATTATAACAAGGGCCAAAAGCGGTAATTATTAGTAAGTCGAAGTGATTTCAGATCGTTCGGAGTAATCAGATATTAACCCATTTGAGCCACAAGTTGGTGGATAAAGGGGGGTTGGAAGCACCTGAACAATGATAAAAGCAGAGAGCGTGACCCAAGCGTGCAGTCCAGGAAATATTAGCCAGGCGGAGCAAGCAAACAGCAGGTTTCGACCTTAGGTAGTACTATTAGTATTAGTAGTATATTTCATAATATTATTAGATAGTTTGCGGAGACTGCACGCGCTCATAATCTCGCGAGTTTGTGCCTTATAAAAAGGAGGCATTAAGGGTAGTTGCACTAAATAGTGTTTACCCCATTCATACCTTGGGTGATAGGAAGCGGTAGTGGTCGATTAGGTCGATAATTTTAAACCTCGACCGCATCCTACACCCGTGCGGAGGCAAGATGGCTCTGTTGTCAGCCCAAATCGACAATTGGGCATTAGAGCTGACCTCCGCACAGCGGGAACGCTACTTGACGGATCTAGAGCTGTGCAAAGATGGAAGTGTCATCCAGCAGGCGGCTACGCTTAAGAGATAGTTGCTAGGAGAGTACACCGTCAGAGATTTTGAAGAGACCACACCCAGCAAAGAGGTGACGGGGCGCAGGAGGCGCACCCGACAAGCGTGGCTCGACACGGTCTGCGACGAGTTGGAAAACCTCAGCGCAGACGACAACAGCGACCATCCCCTGAAGCTCATCAACAGGGAGGGAATATTCTTAACAAATATGTCAAGGACATTCGCCAGCCCAGATAAGGAATCAGAGAGTGAAGCCAGCCGCCAAGAAGAGGATGAGCTCATCTTGAAGGCCCTCCACACCCTGGAACAGGAGGAGAGGGAGAGAAGACGGAGCAAACCGGATATCAGGTCGCAGGAATCCTGCTCCCGGAAGGAACCTCAGGAAGAGTTATCCTTGAGCGAAGCCTTCCGGGAAATAGAATACCTGAAAGAGGGAGTCGACCACAACCGCAAGTTAGTAGGTCGAATCCTAGAAACCCTTCTGACTCTGCAGGGAATACAGGTGTGTGCGGAGCGCGAGGTGCAGGACATGCGCCAAAGAATGCGAGAGCTGGAACACAGAATGCATAAAATGGCCGATGCAGCCCGTTCTTCCTAGCATGACTCAATTTAACTACGCTCCAGACGTAATGTGGACTTTCAGGACACATTCACCTGTCCCTACGATTCTGGGATTCCGGGAAGCGGCTCCTCCAAGACAAGGTACGTCACCCCACCGGAAGCTCTCCAAAGAAGAGGAGGTGAACAGGATCCGGAGAAGTACGGAAGATCCGCACCTGTT